GAGGGAGGAGGGAGGGATAAAGAAAAGAAGTACACTCACTAAAGGTCGATTTGTTACAAATTTTTCACCTCATTCACCTGCTAAAGTGGTTTCCCTGTGTTTAAATTGAATGATCATTTGATGATAATCGTTCTCTCTTTCCCGTAGGTGCCATTGCTCAGTACATCAACCTAGTAATCCAAGACGTCCTTAGAAATGCAATGAACCCTTTACCATTGATCCTAACGGTGAAACGTTTCTATGACAACCAGGTCATTTCTGTGGACTGCGCCTCCTTAAAGTCAACCCACCAATCATTGATAAGCTATGTTGATACATGGATAGGGGATTCTACATCTACAGAGGTGGGTTATACTGTTAAAATTCGATCTTGTGATATTGTTGTTGTTGCATCGTGTGTCTATTTCTTCATGGCGCAAGGTCAAAAAGAGGTCCTTTTTGAAAATCTTCGAAAGAWGAAATATTTTCCTCAATGAAGATCACTCTTTTAAAAAATGCTAAAACAAGTGGTCCGATTTCATTGCATTAGGTGGGGGTACCAGTAAATACGTCCTCCCCCACCCCTCCCCCCATCTCAGAAACCGGGTAACCCCACCCTTCCCCTCCAAATTGGGTCCCGTAAAATGATCATTGCTTTGGCCTTATCCAAAGCTGTCGGGCGGACGGTTGACAGCGTCGTCGTTGCTTGCCGTGACGAACGCGTCTTTTATTGTTCCTTTTTTAGGCTGGCGAAAATCAAGATGACGATGAAACAAGCTTTGGTTTAGAAGCTTTCCTGCAAGCACAAGGTAAGCCTTTGTTATGTTGTTCTTTCGGAAGGAACGTGCGCATGCTCAAATGGTACCTATACACCTATACCACGACGTAAAAAGGACAATTAATAGATATATAAAAGTAATCGAGGTATTCAATATGTTGAATGTGTAGTACATCTTCGACATGCAATAGCCTCGTAGAGTATCATGAGGTTCAGTGAGGATCTTCTACTGAGACTTGGTTGAAGATTGCGATTCACCTCAGACATTTTACTGYAAGGAATGTGGTAAACAGAACTCTTTACAAGTTACTTTGGGCGTAATATTTTCACATTTCAAACCACGTGTCATTCTCTTGAGAATAAGATTCTTTGTTTGGGTGGCATTTATATTCATGTGTCTTCTCATGCACAACCGTTAAACAAAGAAATAATACTCCAGGGAATGACACGTGGTCTGTAATGGAAAAACATGGCACCAAGATAAATAAGGTCTATTTAATCATTTTTTCACTGTAGCTTCAAATCCTTCTCAAGAAAGCCTGGTCAGATTTCTAAGTGATCTGAACGAAGCACAGTTACATCAAGCCCTYGGTCCTTGTGTACAGCTGTGTCTGTCGAAATTCACAGGAGACGTACGGCCATTGGTAGATCAGCTGATGGTGAAGCCTTGCTGCATGACTGGTAAGATTGAGGAGTCCATTATGTTTCCAAGCAATAAAAAAGGGTCTCTCACTTTCGGTGAATGGGGCATTGAGTAAAAAGAGCGGGAAAAGTTGACGCTCAATCAAAAAGGGGTGAAACCTCGACTTCCGGTAAATGGTGAAGAGTGGCAAATGTTAACTGTGGGTAATGTGACCCACCATGCAGCTGAAAAAAGCGGGAAATTCGAATAGTCCCTTTCACAGTTCCCTACGCTATCCTGAAAGGTAGTTGTGCCTTTGCGAAGCGAGACGAACGGGAAGCTTGCAATGATAGAGACATGTGAGTAATTGTCCAAGGTGATAAAAAAGGTCTCTATCATTGCAAGCTCACCGTTCGTCTTGCTTAGATGCAAAGATACGGCTACTTTTTTAAGATGGCGCAGTATTCTAGTAAACGGATGTCTTGATATAGAAATCTTCAAAACTCTGACTTTCTGAGCAAGTGAAGACGGCAACCTTCTTCCAATGTCTTGACTTCCGATGACTTTTGGGTTTCATAAAAAGTGAAGAACCATGAATGCTATTAATAGTGCGGACTGAAAAGAGCGGGCAAATTCTACTTCCGGCAAATGGTACGCAGGCGTACGCGTCTTTTTAAAAACCAGCGGGAAAATTTTACTTCCGGTCAATAATGCGCACGCGGCAAGAACAGAAAGAGCGGGAAATTTTGCATTGCCTTTTTATGACATATATTTACTTATAACTTGTAAAATAACTTAACAATATTTGATATTTGATAATATTTTTTTCTCTTACAATTTTTTTCAGGTAGTACAGGAAACGAAGATATTTTTCCTCTTCTAAAAGAATTACCCTTTGCAAATCTTCTTTGGCAAGTTTTTGGACCACTTCTGAAAACTCTCAACGTCAACGGACATACTGAGAAMCAAGGTGCAAGAAATATCTCAAAAGAGAATAAGAAAAACGTTAAGGTTTTTCTACATATTCAACACCCAGGTGTACAGACGTATCTGGTCGATTCTTTACAAAAAGAAGACATTTCTACCTTTCCTTGTCTTTGTAATAACTTACTTCAATACTTATCTGCTTTTGTATCACAAGCAACAAAGTACTCTATCAACCAAAAAGGTAACTGTCGTCAAGACAACAAAAGTCGTTGCCAAGGCGACAAAAGTGTTGGGAAAGAAACTCGGGACATTCTCACGAGCGCACTGTCTTTGGTATTCCTGTTGATTGATGCCATGAATGAGAGATTAGAAACATTCSCGAATTGTGGTAACAAAAGCGAAARAGCTGTGAGTAGGAAGTCAAAACAGTCTCTTATTATGAAAACCGAGTCTATCCTGGGGGGAATTGAGTCTAGGAAAGATAAAAATACAGATGACTTCAAAGTGACCAAATCGGAAGAATACTTTCAGCAGATCCAAGAAGAATTCTTGAAAACTTTACTTCAAAGTCCAGTGCTCTTRAATTGCTTTTTGTTCAAGTTTGACAGCGACGAATCCACAGCGACAGCTTCTATTTGGTCAGGTCTAACCATTTGTATCGGAGATCTCCTTCATAGCATTGTTGATAGTATTGAAAGTGAAACTGAAAGAAAGCTTYTCAAGCCTTACACAAGAAAGATCTGTGAGAAGGCGGTTGATGTGGTGACCAAGGCAACGGTGAAGTCTGGTAAGTGTTTCAAATGATTTCTATTTTGGGTGTGACAGTTATGAATTTATATTAATAGGCGTAACTTCCGGACCGGTGCAAAATTTTTACTAGTTAAAAAAATTATAGGCATGATAAACATCACGAGTATCTATAAATTCCGAATAGACCTAATCGGCTAACGTGTTGCTATAAACGTTTCCACCCAATTCAAACCACATGGGAGTAAATTTCATTGTTCGTTATATTTTGGTTTCCCAGTTGAATTCGTAGAGACGAACGCTTCTATTTCCAGAAGGTTTGARTTGGGTGGTAACGTACATATCAACGCGTTAGCCGATTAGGTCTATTGTAATAGAAAATTGAGCAACTTAATTGGGACTCTACAGAGTACAATTTGGGATTTAATTGTACTCCTCTTGTCCAATCAGAATCGAGTAATTTTGTAGAGTGTATTATAAAGAAAAATAARCTTCTATATTCCCGAATACTATGCACAAACCGAGTAACTTTGCCTTCTCAACGAATAAAGTCGAACAAAAACTTAGAACAAWAGGTTTCCTAACCATTCCGCTCCATTAACTATGGTTTGCCATACATTCCTGTCTTGGAAATGGTGTCCTACTCTGATATAGCTTCCTTCCTTCCTTCCTTCCTTCCTTCCTTCCTTCCTTCCTTCCTTTCTTTCTTTCTCCTCCAGGCATTAGGGATTGACAATACAATACAATACAATACAACCTTTATTTACTCATACGAAGAAGAATAATACATAAAAACATATTGATGGTTTTCAACCATTCCCAAGAGAATTAAATAACAAAAGACACGGCGGCCATGTTGGAGGATATAACTGACAATTCTTTTGTTAAAGTCCTCAAACATGGCCGACGTGTTAACCACGAATAGTATTAGAAATCTATTTACGATCATGCAGGATATATATATATATATATATATATGTATATTTACAAAGAAAAAAATAGATACTAGAATTAGTGTTTGAGCCTGAGGGTTAAGTTAACCATAAGTTTTCTAGTTAACCCCCAGCCATTTTATGTTGCTATTTACAATCAGGTATAAGGAAGGAATGATAAATAAAGGAAAGAATATATATGACATCTAACATTACACTTACTAGTTATAGATATATATAATATGATTATATATATTATATTTTAGAAAGAGAAAAATAGAACATTTAGGAAAAGTTAAATGATGAATATCGTGTATACATTCACAAGAATTAATATATTATAAAATATTAATAAGTATACAGAAAGGAAATAGATATAGGTCTCTTTTGAAAAGAGTTATTTAAATAATTAGAATTGATGGAGTGGCGAGCAATTACAGACGTCGCTTGGAAAGTATGTAGTCTTTCACTTGTTTTGAGAAGGAAAAGCCACTTAAAGATTCAAGATAAGCTGGTAGGTCTTTCCATAGATCTATTGCCATAAATGAGATTGTTTGTTTGCCTATATTTGTTCTCACTTTTAATTTATAAAGATTTTGGTTTTTGGTTGCTTTACAATTGAGCAGCGAAACTTAATTTAAACCGCTTTTAATCTCGAAAGATATCAGCACCAGATGTCTCCATTCTTCATTCACCTTACATCAATAACTACATGTAAACAGACCATCCCAATTTTATATTAAAAATTAAGTTTCGCAATCTCAATTGAGCACACACCGACAAGAAAATAAATCTAGATTGAAACGGTTGACATCGAATTATTGGAAATATAATAAAAGCTCTTTCGCTTTTTTTCTAATATTTATTAAAAATTCTTCATTCAAAAAATCTTCTTTCAAATGATTGATTCAATAATAAAATATTTACATTCTTTACAAACTAAAATTTGATTTTCGTGTAAGAAGTGAAAACTTTGCGAAACCAGGTGGTGTAGCGGTGAGAGCGCTCGCCTCTGACAAATGCGACTCGGGATGGAGTCCCGCCTCGGTGTCGTAAGAGTTGCTTGTTGGTTCTCTCCTGTGTTTCGAGGTTTTTCTCCATCCAGTTTCTCTGACGCCTCCCTCTGCAAAAATCAATTTTTAAATTCCAAAATTAAACTTAGAAAAGCGAACTAATAATGTTAAATAACTGAGATTAGACGGAGTCCTTGCGAAGAGTTCCAAAGTGAAAAAAAACAAAAACGTACAGCATGCTTGTAAACTTTCCCGTGAGAATGAAAAAGCAAGAGGCTTGCCATACAATGTTACTGTTCATCATCGGCCATATATACCAAAGTCAATCCATTAACCAGTTTAAATCAGTTCCAATACATTTTACAAAAACCTATGAATTCTTTGCTGTTCTCCGCGTCAAAAGTGCCTTTAACGCGTTTCTCAAATTCTTTATTCGCCAGAGATAAAAGATAGTTTGAATCAAATTAAAACAGATGCAATCACTCGTTCGTGGCTGTTCTCCGCTTCAAAAGTGCCTTTAACGCTTTCCTCAAATCCTTCATTCGCCAGAGATAAAAGATAGTTTGAATCAATTTAAAACAGATTCAATCACTCGTTCGTTGCTGTTCTCCGCGTCAAAAGTGCCTTTAACGCTCTTCTCAAATCCTTCATTCGCCAAAGATAAAAGATTGGATTCAAAGTTGAATTAAATGCCATTAACATACCGTTATATTGGAAATAGACAATACTGTGTTGTCTTGGAATCGAAACCATCACTTCTGCGATGCTGAAACAAAGCAAGGGTAGGTAAACTACTAGGTTGAGAAGTAGGATCATAAGCATTGTGTTAAGTGATTTTTTATATTTATTCACGTTGAACGGCGATGAAGACTGGGCTCTTTTGCTTGGGTCTGGTTCTCGTACTGAATGCTCTAATGTTGTTTGTCTTTGACATGGACTAGCATCTTGCATTGGTCCCACTTTGTTCGCCGTTGTCCTTATTTGACTTGCTTGCGACATTCTCACTGATATCTTCTTCAACGAGCAATAAGCAAGCGAAAACGAGACACTTATAACCAGAAGTAAAATAAATGAAACTATAAAGGTGTTGTATTGACGTTGCTTAGAATTAAAAAACAACAAACCCGTATTCATGGATGTAGCCGTGAACACCCAAACTACAACGATGAGGATAAAGGTTCTTCGCTTCGTCACCGTTAATTTGTACCTATTTTTGATCTTGATCGCTAAACATCTGTCTACACTCATAGCCGCCAAAGTCATGAACGAAACGGCTCCAATAGAATATCCCCCTTGCGTCATAACTACCCATGAAACACAAAAGATGTCCAACCAGTTGCTGAACGCTGAAAGGTAGAAAAGAGCAGTCGCTGGTTGAGCTACAAGTCCTAAGAGAAGGTCAGCGAGTGCCAGAGAGCATAGCAATAACCTCGAAGGTGTCTGTAGCGATGTGGTCCTGTAGATTGTCACCATGACTAAGAGATTTAGAAGAATTGCAGACAGCGAAGTTAAGAAATGGAGCACAACTAAAGGAGAAAAAATATCGGGGACGTACTCATCCATGGAGTAATCCATATTATTACAGATTGGTATTATCATCTTCCTTTATTCAAAATTATTTCTTGATCAAAATCACAGTTATTTTTAAGAAAATGGTAGGAAAATATTCCTTTTGGGTAAAAGATAAAATACTTTTTGATAATTGCCAAAGAAAATTCTCTCCAAAGTTAAAACCAACGATGTTTGCAGCGATGGAAGTGTTTTCTTTTTGATAAAGAGTCACATTTCTCCCCGGGGAAAATGGCCTGCAAATTAAAGGTTTCTTCTGGTTCAAAGATGAAATGTTCTTTGATAATTGTTGAGGAAAATTTTCTCTGCAGTTAAAATCAACGATGTTTAAAGCAATGGAAACTTTCTTCTTTATCAAAAGTCAAATTTTCTTTCGGAAAATGGCTTGAAAATATAGTATTCCTTCTGTATAAAGGATGAACTTCCAGGGAAATTCTTTCCAGTTTCTGAATCCACAGTCTTTCCTTCCACAGTGTTCCAGGTTTAATAAAGTCTTGCAACCTTCCCAAATATCTAGCAAATTTGTACAAAAATAATAGGTTCTACATATATTTTTGTTCCTCGGGGGAATAACACCCTCTTATTCTTTTGTCTTCTTAAAAGACTCTACCAACGCGCTGTCTTGCAGTTTTTTTTATCTTCTTCTCAAATTCATTAATAATTTATAAGCTTAATAACGAATCAGAATGTCGTATTTGGTCAGGAGGATGAGCCTTTCACTTATAACTTAAAGACGGATATAAATAGAGTTTAATTTAATATATGAATGTATATAGTGTATACACTTATTTCAATAAAGTTAGTCAACAAAAACCTAGAAAGCTGAGATCACTGAGCATCATGGGAAACTTTTCATATCAAAAAAAGCATATATATACGAAGCCTTTTTTAATACAAACTGCAGCTCGATGATGCTCAGAAGAGGTGAGACTGTAACCTGTAAAAGATTCGCGAGTCCATGAACAGTTATCAAGCGGTTGAACGTGTAAAATGAATCTACCCATAATCCTTGTCGGCCTCAGCTTTATAGCTTTTCTGGTGACTAACTTCATTGAAATAAGTGTATATTACATATAATGTGTATACACTTTTTGTTTTAAATGTTTCCACTTCAATTACAGTATAGTTTTTTTTAAGATCTTTAAGATCTTTTAGGCTTCCACAAATAATAGAGTCTTACAGCACTCTTTCAAGGCTTGATGGACGGTCACTCAGCAATAAAAGTCTGCCTTTTCTCTTGTCGTCATAAACCAAGACCACTTCAACCACTTCAATTACAGTATAGTTTTTTAAATATCTTTAAGATCTTTTGGGCTTCCACAAAT